CGAGACGCAGTGTTGAAGCTCTCAGCGGCGCCGGCTGCCAGCGACTCAGACCCCAGAAGACCCTGGCGAGAAGACGCCACCAGAGAGAGCGAGGGGACAGCCTGGGGTAGGCAAGGTCCTTGGGCAGAGCAGGCTTTTTCCAGGCGAACTGGGGCCCTTCACTACGGCCGAAGTACTCGGGCGACTCGGCGGGCACGATGCCGTAGACGTCGGCCAGGTCCAATTCTGCAGCCGCAACCCAGCGCCGCCACTTGCCATCCACGGTGGCCTCCATCATGTCCAACTCAGCGTCGACCCAGAGCTGCGCAGGATCGCGCACGCGACAGCCCATGGGGATGTCGACGGGAAACCTCTTCGGGATGCGCGCGACCCTGTAGCCAAAGTCCATCAGCGTGGTCGAGCAGAGCGTGAGCTTGACAGGCATGTGGGGCGTGGTGCCCGCATCGACGATGGCCTGCACAGTGGCGCCATACTGCAAGGACGCCGACACCACGAAGTAGTCCAAGACTTTTCCGCCAGACTCGGACGAGTTGGTGCAAGTCGCGGCTGTTGGCGCCAGCACCACACCATCGATGGCTTCTGGCCATCCTGATCCAGACAATATATCGGGCGTCATGTTGAAGTCGCCGCACACAATGTACGGCATGTTCGCAACCTTAAGCACTGCACCGACAGCTTCCAGTATCTGCCAATTCCTGGGCGAGAGCTGCTCACTGTCATGCAGGTAGAGCGTGATCCACAAGAAACCTCCAGGCACAACTCCAGGAGTGTGCAAAGCCACAGCCCTGCCACCACTGATAGAAGGAGGGATAAGATCGACTGGGGCGAGTCCTTGGGCGATGGGAACCATTTGCAGTATACCACCACTGGTGCCCACGCCGCGCCCCGTGCTGACGGCAGGCTCCATCCTGCCACGCCAGCCTGTTTTCCGCAACTTACTTTCCCAGGAAGCGCAGGTGTCAACCTGATGGTGCTCTTGCACCGCGACAAACTGGGCACTCTTAACCGCACTGTGCTTGATCAACGCCTCGAGGCCGACGAGCCCTGTGACGTTGCTGCTGATCATGTGCCACGAGCTAGGAGCCAGGCGCACCCGAGCCTGATGCGCCAGCGGCTGCCTTGCCCTCGACCAAGTCTCCGTCGTCCACGCGCAGCTTCTTGAGCGCCTGGTTCCTGACGTTGTTGAAGATATCCGCCATGAGCTCGTGCTTGACCCCATGCTTCTCCATGAGCTGAACCATCTCGGGCGTATCTCCTGCTTGCGCCTGCTGGAGGTGGTCCAGGAACTCCTGCTGCTGGGCGGCTGCAGCGGCACGCTCAGCAGCGACGGCAGCAGCGGCGCCACTGTCGACCTCCATGGCGGGTTCCCCAGCATCACCTGGCGGAGCCTGCGCGGCCTCGGGCCCACGCCCCCCTCCAGGGGCCGCAGGCTCAGGTGGCTGAGCAACACCAGCAGGCTCAGCAGCCGTGGGAACCGCCTCGCGTAGCACGGGCACGAGGTTGCTGAGGGCGTCGGCGACCTCGGCAGCCTTGGGATTCTCCTTGACGGCGGTGAGCGAGGCGACCAGCTGCTTGAGCTGCTCGAGCGGGTCGGCAGGCTCGGCCGCCTGGCCCATGGCAGCAAAGGCAGCAGCGGCCCTGGCTGAAGCAGCCTTGGCAGCTGCCTCGGCAACTTCCAGGTCCTTTTTGCACTTCGCTGCATGAGCCACCGCTTTGAACACCGCATCATTCGCACGATCCAAGGCGCGCTGAGCCTTGGACTTCTTGTCTTCATACAAATCTTGATCCAAGCGAGCAGCTTTGGCAGATGCACGAGGCTCTCCATTGAGCAACGCACGCTGCGCCAACACACGGTTGAGCTGCTTGGTGGGCCATCCTTCCGCCAACTGCTCGAAGTCGGACGAGCCCATCCTCGCATAGATCTGCACCTGCTCCTCGGACAAGGACAGCTGCTGCCCAGACGGAGGCCCCTTAGCCCACGCGCCCAGATCGCGATTGCCACTGCCATTGCCGAAGGATACATCGGGTTGCCGCCCTGCTGAGCGACCGCATCTGAAGCAATTTTTGCGCCAACTGTAGTTATACTGGTAACCGCACTTCTTGTGGCCGCAAGCCCAACGAGAGAAGTCAGGAGCCCCAGCTGGAGCCATGACTGCACCGTAATGGTGAGGACACAGAGAGCGGTTTCCCGCACAGTACACGGCGTGTAGTAGTTTGAAAGCAGTCGGGGGCCGCAACTCCCCCACGCCACAAAGGCACTCAAATCCTGAGCCGACGCTACGGACTTGAGCCAAAATGGCTACGGACCTCCTCCTCCTCCTCCTCCTCCTCCTCCTCCTCCTCCTCCTCCCCCTCCTCCTCGGGTCTCGGCCCTTGTGGCATTGGGGCCAGCATGCGGCGCTGCCATCCCTCCTCCTCCTCCTTCTCCTCCTCCTACTCCTCCCTCCCTCTCTGCCTCCCTCCGTTCTCCCGCCCACACAGCTGTATACTGTTTCCACAAGCCCTGGGTGGCGGGCGAAGTTCCTGGTATACAGAATCCCCTTCCTGGGAGGTGGTTTCTGCATACGGTCGAACCTCACTGCGGCGGGGAGGATGCGGCATACCATGGCGCTGCTGTCCTGAGGTCTTCTCTTTCTCCCTCCCTCCACCGCCCTCCCTCCTCCCTTTCCCCCCCCCCCCCCGAGCGGCCCATCCAAGGCCCGCGGCGCAGGCCCACCGAGCGAGATGTCGTCGCGCCTCCGATCCCGTGCGCTCCTTCTCCCTCCTCCTGCCGCCCTCCTCCCTCCTCATCCACCCATCCTCTCCATTCTCGCCCTCCTCCGTCTCCCCCCTCGTCATCTTTCTCTCCATCCTCACCCTCCCCGTCCTCATCCTCCCTCCTCCTCCTGATCCTTCAGATCCTGCTCCTCCTCCTCCATCTCCTCCTTCTCCCCAGGGAAGGCGTCCAGGATTCTCAGAGGCGCCATGCGCCCACAAGGAGGAGAGGAGGAGGAGGAGGAGGAGGAGGAGGAGGAGGAGGAGGAGGAGGAGGAGGAGGAGGAGGAGGAGGAGGAGGAGGAGGAGGAGGAGGAGGAGAGACCCCCCCCCAGAATTTAGCCTTGAGTCATACGGCACTGTTCACCCACGGGGCAACAAGCTTCCTTTCCTTCCCCCCCCTCCTCCTCCCCCCTCTCCTTCCCTCTTCCTTCTTACCTCAGTGCCTTACGGGGGGAGGGCGGTCCATTGAGGTCCGTCACCTTGTCCTCCTCCCTCTCCTGAGTCATCCGACGTGACGTCGCGCTCCTTTTTCGATAGCGTGGCTCCCCATTTCCCGGGGGGCCGGCTCTTCATCCCGAGCCGTTCCTTGACGGCCCCAGGGCACATACAGGACCCCATGGAGGCCGAAACTCGTCAAGCACCTCCCGTCTTGTTGTTCTGTTGCGGCGCGATGATGTCAGGATCCGGGCCGGAGGGGCAGGGGCCTGCGAACGTCGCCGCTGGGGCCTCAGGTGGAGCTCTCTCTGGGGCCACGAAACGTGTGAGGGGTTTTCCGACATGAGCCGGTCGGACGCATGCGAACGTCGCCACTGGGGCCTTGGGTGGAGCTCCCTATGGGGGCACGAAGCGTGTGAAGGGTGTGCCGGAATTGGTCGGGCGGACGCATGTGGCCGCGCCCGCTTGGGCCTTAGGTGGAGCTCTTTATAGGGTCACGAAACGTGTGAGGAGTGCGCCGAAATGGGTGTGGCAGACGCATGTGGCCACCCCCACTGGGGCCTTAGGTGGAGCTTCCCACGGGGAGACGAAGCGCTGTACTGGGTGAGGCGGACGCATGCGGGCACTCCCACTGGGGCCTTCGGTGGAGCTCCCTTTGTGGCCACGAACCGTTGTACTGGGTGTGGCAGATGCATGTGGCCACCCTCACGGGGCCTTCGGTGGAGCTCCCTATGAGGCTAGGAAGTGCTGTACTGGGTGTGGCGGTGGAGCTCCCAATGGGGCCACGAAACGCTGTACTGGGTGTGGCGGACGCATGCGAGCACCCCCACTGGGGCCTTCGGTGGAGCTCCCGTTGTGGCCACGAACCGTTGTACTGGGTGTGGCAGATGCATGTGGCCACCCTCACGGGGGCCTTCGGTGGAGCTCCCTATGAGGCTAGGAAGTGCTGTACTGGGTGTGGCGGTGGAGCTCCCAATGGGGCCACGAAACGCTGTACTGGGTGTGGCGGACGCATGCGAGCACCCCCACTGGGGCCTTCG